ATATATATATATATACATAAGTACGGAGTGATCCAAGTCACTCAAAAGAACCGGCACATACATATTCTTCACGAAAAAATGAGTCGAAAATGTTAATAGTAAAATGTTGTGATGTCAATAGTTTTTAAATGGTGAAACTTTGAAACTGTCCAATTCAGAGAAAAAAGTCGTAACAGCAATTAGAAATTTGCACAAATAGGTATGATATGCCACAATTATGTATAATAAATTGTAATAAAAACAATCAACAAATTATATGAACCAAGAAAATATAGTAATATTAATCATTTGTAGAATAAATCGTTAGATCGTTAAATTAATGGATTGTACACTATTGTTATCAGTATATATTTTTCCAACTTATGTCAATGATATTGTGGTATTCTGTTTACTTCACAAAAATATTTGTTTAAACTGGAACAATATAACATCATATTACATTCGGTTGACTTGACACTCGAGACTACCGTGTCTCCTGATCGCTAGATCTTATAATGACCTTGATTTATCAGTCTGATGATCCGCTGGATCGATAAGATTAATAATGACATTTCGCGACAGACATTGCAGCCGTACAAAGACGACGACGATAATAATAATAACGACGTTACGTTTCTTACAGTAAAAATTTCCAAATCGGACTTGCGTGGCAATGTCTTCGTTCGTAGGTACGTAACAAAAAAATAAAAATACTTTTATTATGCATTATCGAACTCAAACTATCGATCAAGCCTACTTAGAACTTGATCAATTTAGCCGTTATTGAGATCCGATAATTTCGGATACTCGCATCTCGCCGATAAAGTTACACGGTAGTGTTTCTCGGTTGACTTGACATCCGAGACACTACCGTGTCTGTTGATAAAATGTTGATAAAATGTATACATAAACGCACGCGTATACTCATATACATATTTCACGTTTCACACGCATTACTCATACATTACCTATTATATATGTATGGATAAAATATATTCATATTTATTGAAATATAATACATTAATATATTCGTATGTACGTACCTTTCATAACATTCATTTAGTATATCTAATGAACATTTAACGTGCGCTTCATTTTTGCTATTTTCTAATATGACATTCATTTGAAAACGACTAAATTTATGTTTCAGATTTATTATTTTTTGTATCGGCAGAACGTATAAAAGTTGTTCCTTTGCTTCTGCCACTGTCTCTTTGGTTCCTTCTAATGTTATTCTTGTAAAAGGCGTTTGTGATTCTAATTGAGGATAGCTGCCAATTTTAACTTTGTCATTCAATCGTTTTATTTGTTTATCTAAAATATTTATTAATGCTAATTCATTCAGTTCTATGTCTATATATTCGAAGTGCAATGGCACACATCCTTTCAAACGAGAAATTATTGTGTCGGTAGCAGGCTTAAAATATTTTGGAGAACCAGGTAGCATATAAACATTTTTTACATATATCACTGGAAAAGTTTCTGAAAATTGTAACAATTATAAGCAAAACAATTATAATATGGATCATCAAATAAATTTCATATTTTATTTGTAGATTAAGTTCACATTAAATAAAGAAATATTGTTGTTTTTTTATATGGAAATGCGTTTTTCTTTTCCGATTTTTTCTTCTATATTGGTAAATTTTTAATTTAAGGAAAAGGTTAATAAGTTAAGTTAATAAGTTAAGTTAATAAGTAGGTTAATAAGTAAAGTTTTATGTTTTAAAAATAACTAAAATTATAAAGTAATTTATTCAAAATTATTTAAGTTAAATTATTAAATTTTTAACTTTTTAACTATCTAATCCTGTATATAACTAACTTATAATATAAGTCTTAATAAAAAGATATATGTATAAGTGTACCTGTAGAATCGATGTTGATAATTTCACAAGGACTAGGAACAAGAGCAAGTCGTTTTATGTCATATTGACCAGGAATTAATTGAGTGTATATATTTAACAATTCTTGATTTAATTCAAGTTTTAATTCAAAAGCCTTTGCTACTGCCTTATATGTTATATCGTCATGAGTAGGTCCAACTCCACCAGATGTAAATACGATAGAATACTGCTTTGATGCATTATTTATTTCTTTAGCAATTTCATCTATCTAACAGAAAGAGTAGTGAAGTATTATATACAATTTATATAAATTTAAACATTGATAAATTAATTGGACATTGATAAAACATTGGTAAATTAATAATTTTTAAAAATTCAGAATACGAATTATTTATTTATGATGTTACACAATTTACGCTTTCAAATTAAAAAAAGAGAATTATGAAAAACAAGATTTCAATCCGCAGCAATGTAATGTTCTCGCCGTAATAGCCAGCTACGCTACTGAATTCAAAATTGTCAAAAAATCGCGGTATTTTTTCTTTCCTTTTTATTTATTAAATTCATCAGATGTTAGCAGCAAAAGTAAAAATTTGTGAGCGCTCATGTACCATCACAATCATGAGACACAAAGATAAAATTTGCAAGTTAAAAAAGAATTAAAAGAAGATACTAGGGTGACGGATCGAAAAAATAATTACCTTTAGCATGCAATTGTATTGTACGTAATTTACTTAGATTTAATTTGGTAGAAATTAAAAATTTCCATTTTATAGAATATATTAAAAAAATGAAGTAAAAGATATTAATTTATGGTTGAAATGCAATAAATAATATTCCTTTTTAAAAATTCTTTTTCAATGTAAACATATATTAATATATTATATAATTTCCTTTGTAAGTTTCTGAAACAAATGAGCTTGATGTCATTTTAAATGATATTGCTATCGTTTGATCGTGGTTTTTCTTAAAAATAATAATTTGCAGTAAACTGGCGACAATATAAAATTAAAGTTACGATTTTTTGATACAAATTTCATCTTTTTCTTTTGATGGCAGATGATAGATTTTTTTCTCTATTTTTCTAATCCCTAATAATCAAGCATATCGATACGTTTTGCAGCACACTAAATAATTAATAGACATATCATTTTGTTTCGATAAAGCAAATAACGTTTGCATTACATCATTATAATATGCAGTCGAAATTTAGGGATATCAGCACATCCTGCAAAATGCTTGTAAATATTGGTACAACACAGACAGAACACGATATTCCTTCAGTATGCTGTCAGATGCAGAATTAGCTGGAAATCAGTGCTATCACATGTATGCATACATTATGTGATATCATCATATAAACATTTGATTATCTATACTTTGACATATCTTAGTTTCTGTCGAATGCTCAAATTCTGGGATTTTTTTTTATGGCAACAAGTTTTACTCAATTTTTGCAGTATTTTTATTAGCATGCTGTGTTTACAGATTATTAGATTTTTGTTGTATTTCTGCTCTCTAATTTGGCAGTCTATGCTTGATCGTTGCTTGATTTTTGCAAACATGATATGTAAACATAAATTTGTATTGCGTATTCTGAACACGTTTGGCTATTTAGATACGTATCTTTTTATACATATATAAATATATATTACTCATTAATATTTATTAACAATAGTAAAATAATACACACAATGTCAGGAACCACTGTGACTCTTTGTAGTCTTATTCCAGCGGCAGTTAAATATTTTGCCAAATATTGTGTATTGGTATCAACTATTTGACCACGCAAAATCTCATCTCCTGTGACTATCAAACTTGCTGTACACGCATGACATGTTTGTTGCGACATATTGCTCTAAATTCTGTTTTCACTAAAACAAAAGAAATATAACAAAAAATAATTAATGATTCTTCAATGCTGAACAATATATACAATTTATATATTTTTCTTCTCACTTATGACATTTTTATAACTTATTTTATCTATATTTTATCTAGTTCATAAAATTTTAATACATATAATAAAATTTAAGAACATATAAAATATTAAGAATATCGGGTAATTTTAAAAAGGTAAAAGAAATAAAGAAACATATTTTTTCTTAATATTTATTGTAGAAATTATGATAAAAGCATGTGTCTGTTGTACGTCTGCATATATGCGCATATGATGTATATGTGTGTGTGATATGTGATATCGATAAGGGATTAATAATTTTTTTTATGATACTATACAATGTATTCTTAAGATGAATTAAATTAATAAAAATAGAATATTATACGATATATAATAATAGATACATTAAGTCCATCTATCTTCTTTTTTCTTTATTTTTAAAGTTGCATCTGTTCCACCATCGAAACTGCTATATCCGTCTGCGGTGACATCGTTTTTTTCTTAGGAGATATATTTCCTTTGTTTATCTTGATTGATTCCATTTGAATTGATGTTGCATCAAGTTTTGCCTTGGAATTGTAAGCTTGCAGATCCCTGTCTAATTTGTTTAATATTTGATCCATATTGATTGTTTTATTCTTATTTGATTTCTTATTTCCTTTTGGATCAAGCTAATTTTAAAACATAAAAATAACTTTTGTCAAAAATATTTTTTCAATATTTTATTCTTATATTCAAATCTGTTTAAAGGCATATATTTTTAAATTCTTACAATATTTAATTAAATAAGAAATTCGATTCAATTATTAAATATTTATTTTTATTTTAATTTACACTTAAGAATTTTAGATTGATTAATAAATTATAGACTTGAATTGGGGGAATTTATATTTTTATTTCCAAGAAATATTCCCAAAAACTAATATATAGAGTCTAAATCCTATACACAATAACTTCACATATTATTATTTAAATTTGTAATCATTCATCACTTACTTTTTTCAGATTAGTAAATATTTTTTGTGCTTTAGTTTTTAGTTTGATACTGCGAATTTTGACTTTGAAAACATTTGTGTTTTTATGAATCCTCTTGTTCTTTCCCATTTTTTTTCTGTAATATTGTAATATTATCTGTTACAAATAAATTGTTAGACATCATTAATGTTATTAATGTCATTAATTTTAAGTTTCTTCGTTGCTGGCTCCTCGTTTTTAATCACTTCTGGTTTTAATAAAAATGATACTCGAACCATCTGTTTATTTGGTGAAACATCTCTAATATCATGTATACTGATAATATAATTATTAGTTAGAGTATAACCAAGCTTCTGTTCAACCAATCTCTTTCCAAGCATACAAACATCATCTCCTTTATTTGCTTTCACGAAGCAATATACATGGAATATAGGTGGCTTAAGGCTAAGTTTTTTTAGTTCTTCTTGTGTAAACCAATCAGGTAATATATCCAAAAATTCAATAGCTGATGCAGGTAAATTCATTATTATATGTTCGGAACCAGATAAATTTTGAGCTCGTCTGGCCAAAATATCATTTTTAACAACTTTTCTCAAAAAATCTCTACCATCCATGTTAAAAGCTTTAAAATTATCTTTTAATTTATTAATAGCAGCATTTTTTTGAAGCCACTTGTAAGATTCAGGATTTAAATCATTAGCAAATACTTGGATTTTTTTACGTGCAGCAGGAATTGCAAATGGTCCCACTCCTGCAAATACATCGTATAAAACATCACCTTGCATCATAAATGTTATCATACGTGCATGTTCAGTAGATAGACGTGGATTCCAGTAAACTTGTGCAAAGTCAAATTGATATGTATAACCATTTTCTTTTGTGATTGTTACTGTGTTTCTTTCACCAGCCAGAATCTCCATAGCAAAATAGCGGAATGATGTATCAATTGTGTTAATCTTGTTTATTACTGTCCGTGCACTTGCTGTTTTATCAAGAAATACTTGACCAATAATGAATTTATATGGCAAATGTACATCACGTAAATTCAATTGCATAATATGTCCTACTAAACTGTATGCTGTAGGAACGTTAACATCTTCTGGAAGAATTGATTTTAATATTTCTTCACGATTCCAATTATCATACTTTATTGTAATGTTTGTTGTACTAAAAATGTTTGTTGTTTCAAATTGGTCCAATAAATTTCTATCATTTTCAGTAATGTCCTCAAATCTTGTGACAATATCTGGATTTAGATAAACAATAATTCCATCGTTCATTTTTTGAACTGATTTAAAATTACATATTTTTAACAAATATTTTTTTAACACGTGTATATTTTTGAAAATAACAATATCACGAAACTTTAATATTGGTACAGTCACAATTGTTGTAAATGCATCACGATCCAAATATGTCATCCCACGAACAGATGCTGGAGGAACCAGCAAAGAAGTCATAGTAGTTGTATAAAAGTTGTACTGGATTTTCAAGGAGGTAGAATGCCAAATAGCGCTGAAGAATCTGCCAATTGCCATATACAGGATCATACACTGTAGAACAATACAAACAACTGACCATAATAGTTGTTTTTTGGTAGGGTTATTTATTTCTTTAAATAATTTATATTATTTAATAATAATAAGTATAGTCATAGCAACACAACATTTTATTTTTATATATTTGCAAAAACTAATAAAAAATTAATAAGAAAAAAATTACAGCATATACATATAATGCAAGAAACTTGAAATATTAAGAGATATAATATAAACTGATATAGGGTTCCATTTAGTGACACAAGTCGACACAAGTATCATTCTATCTTTCTTGACTTTCAATGATTAACAAAAACAAAATGATACTTGTGTCGACTTGTATTACTAAATGGAAAGCACCCAATAATTACACTATAAATAGTAAGTTTATTTTGATTTAAATCACAAATCAATTAAATTAACACGCATACTTATATCTTTAGTAAAATATTCATTTTTTAAAATCTAGTATGCAAAAAAAATAAATATTTCAAGAATATTTAAAACATTAAAAAATTAATATTTTTAAACATTGATATACACATGCGTGCACACGCTTACGTACGCACACGCACACGCATGCGCGCGCGACACACCATATACATACATAATTTTTTCTCAAGTTTTTATGATCCTGTATATTGACAAAAGTCTCATTTTTTAATTATATCTTGTAAACTTTTTCTCATATTTTTCTTTTAAAAATTTTCTTCAAAATCAATATAAACATATCTTTCTTTGCAAAATATAAAAATCAATAAAAGAGAATAAATCTGTCTACATCGCATCTTTTTGTACGTAAATAAAATATTATCACGCATATCATACATATTTTGCAATAAACATAATGCGTAAATTAAATATTTCAAGAAACGTAGAAATCGCAGACAAAAAAAGTAACGTCTTTATCAACTTTATATAAGATGTCAAGATTGTGTGTGTATTTTAAGTTTACTTGGGATGGAGAATTAGTGCCTTCAACTCGATCGCCGAGTTATATAGCACAGATTTCAAGATTGGAGATTTTTAGGTTAGATTAAAATTTTATATTTCTTACTTATTATAAGTACGTACGAATAAAAAATATAAATATTATTTACCTGATTCTTTTTTATAAAAAATTAATGTATTTAATATAGATGTTCCGTGCTAATATTGGCTGAAAAATAGCAAATAAATTCAAATTCGACAAAAATGACAGCCTGACATCACTACAAACACGTCAGCGATCCAAATATAGGAACTATACTACTATTGCTTCAACATAGTCGTGACTTCCTAACGGAGCCAACACAGGTCACGATTCAAAACGGGACATATTCAAGAAAAACGATAAGTGTCGGTCCACAATAGGTGATTTAAGCTTTAAGAAGTAAGAAATTGACCAATTATAATCGAATATGAAAAGAATACTCGACTATGATTAGTCAATTTCTTACGGCTTAAAGATTAAATACTTATTGTGAACCGACACT